CTATTGCTTAGCATAGTAAATTGCACTATAATCAATGGTGCTTTAGTGAGTCAACTCCTCTGTAAGTTCCATTGATTCAGATGGTCATACTCTAACTGCACCTTACTGTGATCAAGCAAGCTGGGAGTTACAAGCAAGCTGGGAGTTACACTAGGCCAGCTGAACTTAACAAAATAGTTGGTTCATGAGATCCCCATTGATTCAATGAACCTACTCTAGTGTGATTTACTATACTAAGCGTCCAGATTTTGCTCATTATGTGATTATGAGAGAAAAGCTACAGCTTACTCAGAAAGAAACTCATGTAATCTATAAAACCTTGGACAAATCCCATTTCCCTACTAAATGAAATATAGTAAATGTTTTTGATCCAGTAGCAAAGAGATACTCTAGATATGTGAGAACCAGACTGGGTCATTTCTTTCTCTGCCTTGCTCAGAACAGAGGAAATTGTTGGGAGCTTTTCTTTTGCTCTCATCTCATAATAATTATGTGTTGTCAAGCCAATTCCAAGTAATAGTGATCCTTGCCTACCATTCCCTTCTTCTGGTGGCACTCTAGGACTTGTGTAGCTTCCCGAGACGACACAGGACGGCTCTTCTGCCAGGAGGCACAGAACTCCCAACTTACTTTACTTCCAAGCTTTTCTTTTGTTTTGAAACAAAGCATCAACATTCCTGTCAGTTTTTCTTTTTCTTTCCCCATGGGTCTGACAGGGAAAGATGAGATAGCAGTAAATCAAAAGAATTTTCCTCAGAGCAAAGCTATTGTGACTACAATGTCACCCTTACAAAGCAGAAGCACAGCTTGCCAAGATGAACCATCAAATATCTTGAGGAACCTCTTTATGTGCTGGCCCAAACAGCTGGTCCCATGCTTAGGGTGGAGACGGTCAAAACCACAATGTTCCTACGACCTCAGGGGCTTTGTGTCATAAATAATTTTGAACAGCATGAATTACTTCACATTGTTGTGAGGATTGACAAAATACATCACGTTGAGCGTACAGGAAGAAAACTGTGATGGAGATATAAAAACCTGTGATAGAACTGTAACCAGCTAACTAGAAATAAAACTGTCATATACAAACATCCGCAAGGGGTCAGTAACATCACACTGCAAACATTCCACAGCATGGTATGCAACTTTATTCTCCTAACATAATAATTTAAAATATTTATACACTGCACGGTCACTTTTTTCCTTTCTCTTTTTTACACAAACATATACTTATTAGTATATCCATGAACCACATCTAAACAGCTTTTCCAGAAAAAGGGAGGGGGCACATGGGGGGTCCCCCAAATCATAAAAGTAAGTTTGAAGCCTTCTAAAAGAGACAGCCATTTGGAGTGTCTGTGAAAAACCAGTGTTCCCTCTAAGCTTAAGTTCTCCCTCGAGACCACTCACTAGCTTCAAACTATCCATATGTTTGGCATTAACTAAAGCTGTCTTGGCTGTGGTGGACTTCAAGAGCCAACATGTGCAAATAACATTTTCTCAAGAAATCCCACGACAGGGCTGTGAAAATAATTAAAAAAAAGGAAGGAAGAAAGAAAGAAAAAGAAAAAAAGGATATCTACACTCCAAGTACTAACATTTCTGAAATATTACTTATCTCTGGACTTCATGATATTAGTGTACATATATATTCATGGAGCGTTGAGAACACAGGAAATTAGCTAGCACGCAGCTGTTGTTTACAATGGTTACAATGGGCTCACACTGCAGCTACAATTCTAGATTTGTCTACCAGACATCTTCCACAAATACCGTTCCACTTGGCACACAGAAAGGGGTAAAAATCCAACTATTCTAAAGACCATCCTGTTTCTCCCCAAACTAGGGGGCTAGGGATACATTTTTGCTTCAATTTCTATGTTGCCCTATCAAGTAATGGCAGTTAAAATACAGGAATACAGTTAAAATACAGGAATGACATAAGAAATGACAGAGAAAGATTGCATGGATTGACTAATGGGAAAACAGGGCTAAACAGCAAGTTCAGCCCAGGATCCTTGAGCCCTGGCACAATTCTGACTTCACCCAAAGGTCAGGAAGTTCACCCGTTCTGAGATATTTCCCATTTAGTAGTTAAAGGGGTTGATTTTCTCCAGCTCCTTCAGTATTCCAATCATCATATTCACCAGCAAACTATTATCATGAGAAACGTCCTTGGTTTTATTTCAGTATCCTGAAATACAAACCAATACTGTTCTGCCAATTGAGGGTGAAAGGGGCTTAGTTCAATACCAACCAGTTCAAGCTCGTTCTTTTAACCATATTTCACTAGCTTCCACTAAGCTAGGTTACACCTCCATACAGCCCATGTTGGTCTGCAAGCAGGACGCCTTGCAGACTAAGGGATTTGTGGCATCAACCTAAGCATGTTATAAGTTGGTTATGGGTAGGATTCTGGAACCTAGAGGGACCAAATGAAAAAGAAGACGGTGTTCCTGTGCCTTGAACATCAGTGGAGAGGAGAAATTTTTTCAGCAGCTGTAACTTGTATTAAAAACAGCCTCTACTATAATTTCCTCTTCTACTAAAGGTACAGGAATCCAGTCTTCTTTTTCATCTAGCCATCCTACCTAAAACCCTATGTGGAAGAAGCCAAGGTTTCACAAGAAGCATATGCTTTGTGTGAGGAAGGGCCCAGTACCAACTCCTAGCCTCCCCAATTCAGAAAAGGCTGGGAGAGACCTCTGCCTCAGACTGAACACTTGTCAGGTCAACAGTAACAGTCTAGGTGTGGGCAACTTCTGACTCACCTTATTGGTCAGGAACTCTTACCTGCTCTCACCTGCGCAAGCCACGAGGAGAAAGAACAAGCTGCCATCTAACATCTGAAGGGCCAAAAGTTGCCCACCCCAGACTGTCACAAAAAAGTATGTTCTTATGTTTCCTGGCTAGTGGCAGATCATCTCAGCCTTAAGCCAGAATTTAAGAGGAAGGGGATGTAGTCCAAAAGCAGTTGGGATGAGCACACGTCTCCAGACCTGTGCCTTAAAGAGTAATCCTCTCTGCACTCTTCATTAGGAAGAGAAGGCTTGAACCACAACCCTATGTCTAACCTTACTGACCTTGTTGTAATTACATGTGAATGACAGATGATGACTCAGTTCAATAAGGCTGTTTCCAAAAAGAGGTGGGCAATGAATCACACAGGTACAATGGTGCCTCGCTTAGCGATCGCTCCGTTGAGCGATGAAATCGCTTAGCAATGGACTTTTTGCCATCGCAAAAGCGATCGCTTAGCGATGGTCCCTATGGGGAAAATTTGCTTTGCGATGATCGCGGGGAAGCGATCATGGCAAAGCGACCCTTTTTTAACAGCTGATCGGCGGTTTCAAAAAGGCTGCCGAGAAAAACAAAATGGCCACCGCTGTTTTGCCTCGCTTAAGAGGCAGCGAAAATGGCGGCACTATGGAGGATTTTCGCTGAAAGGTAAGTTTTAAGCCCATAGGAACGCATTGGAGGGGTTTCAATGTGTTTCTATGGGCTTTTAAAAATCGCTTAGCGATGAAATTGCTTAGCGACGTTTTTTCCAGAACGGATTAACGCCGCTAAGCAAGGCACGATTACTGGCCCAGCAGACTTTAGGATGCTAAAAGTAGCAAATGTCTCAGGGAGGAGGATTGCAGATTAAGCACAGAACCAGTGCAGATGTGACACTGAAGAAAAGGAAAAGGGTCATCTGCCACCAGCTTTCCTAGGTCACATGCTGCACACAGATGAACCAGGCGCTACCTCCTAGAAGCTTATGCTACGACAGAACAGTCAGTTTCCAAAGGAGGCCATAAAATTTGCTTTGTATATGCATTTCAACAGACTAACGGGCTCCCAAAGATGCTGTCAAAGAGGACTGTACTAAAAAGTAACATGAGCATGGGGACCAACCAACCCTGGACTTCTCTAAAAGGGGCGACCTCTGGCCCTCCAGAAGCAGCCAGCCTAGTCAGAGGTGGGGGAAGATGGGAGCAGCTGCTGCTGCCCAACAACACGTGGAAGACTCTTAAGTTGTCTACCCTTGTTCTACAGCAGATGTCCTGCTTCCTCAGATACACCTAGCACAGCCAGAGTCACCATCTCTTCTCCTAACATTTATCTACACTGTCACAGTAACTTTCCTCCAGGGCTGTAGGGAGAGCTCCTAAGTTCCTTCTCCTCTCTGGGGAAGCTGATTTCCAAACTCCAAATATAGTTTAGGAAGACAGGAAGTTTCTAACCAGGGGAGCAGCAGAAGAGGGAACTTAACCAAGTAAGCACCTACCACGATCATAGGGTACACAAACAACTTGAAGACATCCATATATCAATACATATTTAAAGAGCAGAATCCCAAAAACGCCCAGAGGGTTTTTTGGGAAAAGTCTTGGGCCTCACTTGGAAACATCTGGAAAGGGAAAAAGAGATATTTTCTATATGTGTGCGCCCTTAATGAAAAATCAATATACAATGTGTAATTTTGTACTTGTGCATCATAGCCCAAGCACAAACTAACCATATAAAAAGCAGTCCTTAAAAGCAGGAAGCAAATATTCTCAGCATCAGAGGAAATCCTGTAAGACACACTTTTGAATACTCTAATTATCCCGGTCAATGGCAAATGACGTCTCTGTTCCTAGGAAACAGAGATTACTGGCCCAGGGTTCAAAGCAGGGGTGGGCAAATCACAGCCTTCCACGTGGTGCTGGGCTGCAAATCGTGTCAGCCTTAGGCAATGCAACTACTAGTGAGGTATGATCAGCGCTATCATCCAACGAGGGACCAGTAGCTATCCACATTTGGTGGTCAAAAAGGAAGAATCAACTCTTTCCAGATCTGTGCTTACATTCTAAGCCAGCTTCTTGCATTGCCTTTGAATTAGCCAAAAGAACTGGGGGTGGGGGGTGGCAGCAGTGGGGAAGGGAAATGGTAAATATGTGAGTTAAGCTAGGTAATAGAGGGAGCACTGGGTATGGTATATGTACGAGTGTATATAAGCTGTACATATTACCTTGGTACACATAAATATTTAATATATAAAAAATAAAGTGCTTTCTATTGGGTCCTGATGAAAGGACATTATAAAACATTTCACCAACTGCAAAGCAAAGAATTATTACAATCAAAAAGGAATATTACATCCACAACTTACATGAAAAAAAAGAGTTAATACATATGTACAATCTGCTGGGTGTCCCAGAATCAAAAACAAAAAAAAACAAACAAAAAACCCTTCATATACATGGTATATACATATATACTCTTTACTCAATATATTATGACAATATATATTTTAAAACCTTTGTTCTCAAATCCCACCCCAATACCCTACAAAAACACAACAACCATCAAGCATACAAGTCCAAGAGTAAGACACAACTCATTCTCCAAGGCAACACTCCCCCCGTTGGGGAAGATGTGCCATCGCTCCTTCCTAGGGTGCAGTGCCTCAACATCCTGCAAGGCACTATGGGCAGCGGCAGTGAAATTGGCATCTCCAGTGGTGAGCAAATCAAACACACAAGAGTAAAAATAGATGTCCTTCAACAGCATATTCTCGTGGCATTTGGTAGTAGCACTCTCCAGTGTGTAGACCGACTTGGTCTGACCTGAAGCACCAGGGGGAAGGAGCTGCCCCGACACTGGCAAAGGCAGATGCCCACTGTCATCAATCCGTTCACTTGAGGGGCATCCATTCACGCACAGCTGTAGATCCTGGCTCTCTTCGTAAATCATGGCTAGCTCCTCTGGCATGCGGATGGCTAGCGTTAAGTAACGGCCAAGCTGGCGCACGAACACAGTGGTCCCAATGTAGCGGGCGTGCATTTCCACATATTTGCCACTCACTCTCTCCACAATACGGAGGCTTTTGGTGTCGCCATCTCCACCGCTCGTCGTGCCGTCAACAAAAGCGGCTGGCAAGTCATCAGTCACTGCCTGATACACCTTCTGATCTGTACAGTCTTGGTAAGATTTAAAGATAATGGTTATCTGGAGATAGGAAAGACAAAAAGAATAAGGTTAGAGGAGGAACAGTTCAGGTCGACAAGGGGCTTATTAACTACAGAGATGGTATAAACTTGAGATCGTTGGAGATGCTACTACCAGCTAATGTTATGCAATTTTTAACACACAACCCTATACAGCAAGGAATCATATGAAACAGATCTCTCTAACAATTACCTTCTTATACCATGTGTTCTTAAAGTGTCACAAAATGTCATCCCCGAATGACTGAGCAATCACCTTTCCCCCTTTCACAAGAAGACAAACAAGAGTTTTACTTCCTACTACAGAGAGGAGTGCAAGATTTATTTATTCATATTTATTTGAAGTATCTTTACCCCACCTTTCTCCTTGGAAAGGACACAAGGTGGCTTACTACACTGAAAGACAATATTTGAAGTTTCAAAACAAGGAGTAGACAACATTGTCTAACCTAATTAAAAAACAACATTTAAGGCTAAGAACAATAAGTATAAAGAGGCGTCTTACATCATTAAAAGGCAATATTAAAGGTAGGAACAATATGTATACAAAAATTAAAAAGAAAATGCCATGCAATAACAATCCCTCTAAAAATCACACACAGTTTTAGTTACCGAGGGAAGGCTTGCCTGAAGAAAAAGGTCTTTGCTTGCTTGCGGAAGGACAGCAAAGATGGGGCCAGTCTGGCTTCCTGTGACAGGCAGGGATTTCCAACATCTGGGAGCAGCAACAGAGAAGGCTCTCTCTTGTGTCTCCATCAGACACACCTGGGAAGGTAAGTGGGCCTGAGAGAAGGGCCTCTCCTAATGATTTTAACACCCGAGCTGGCTCATAGTGGGAGATATGGTCTTTGAGAAAGCTTGGACCCAGGCCATTTAGGGCTTTATAGGTTAAAGCCAGTACTTTGAATTGAGCCTGGAAACAGATTGGCAGCCAGTGGAGCTGCTGTAGCAGGGTTGGTGGGTCATGATGTGATCCCTGTAACCAGCTCCAGTCAGCAGTCTGGCTACTGCATTTTGGAGCCCCTAGAGTTTCCTGACACTTTTCCATTGGCAGTCCCACATAGAGTGTAACCAGTCAGGAAGTGACTAGAGCGTGTGTCGTAATTGCCAGATCAGATCTCTCAAGAGACGGACATAGCAGGCACACTAGTTTCAACTGTACAAATAAATGCATTCCTGGCCACCGCTGAGATCTGGGCATCCAGGCTCTGGGATGAATCCAGGAGCATCCCCAAACTGCACACCTGTGTTTTTAAAGTGGGAGTGTAATCCCATGCAGTACAGGATGCATCCCTATTCTCTGATCTGCCTTTTGACTGACCATGAGCAATTCAACTTATTCACCCTCATCCAGTCCATTACTGATAAAAAAAAACACTGAGCCGAGCCAGCTGCATACTGGTGGCACCAAACCCCAAAACTCAAAAAAAAAACACTGAGCCGAGCCAGCCACATACTGGTGGCACCAAACCCCAAAACTCTGGATAATCTCTCCCTGCAGTTTCATGTAGATGTTATATGGGACCCCAAAGGCCAGCAGCCAGGATGTCAAACAAGAATCTCCCAGCACCACCGTCGGAGTTCTTTCCTCCAGGAAGGACTGGAGCCACCATAAAACAGGGTCCCCGAGTCCCACTCCAGAGAGCTGGATCAGGAGGATACTATGGTCGATAGTAACAAAAGCCATTGAGAGGTCCAGCAAAACCAACAGGGACACAGATCCCCTATCCAGTTCCCAGCATAGGTCATCCACTAAGGCGACCAAAACGATCTCTGTCCCATAATCAGTCTTGAAGCCAGATTGAAATGGACGTAGATAATCTGTTTCATCCATAAACCTCTAGAGCTGAGAGGCCACAACCTACTCTAGCATCTTTCCCAAGAATGGGATATTGGATGCTGGTTGTTAGTTATTCAATATTGTGGGGTCCAAAGACATTGTTTTTAAACAATGATCTTACTATTGTCCCCTTTAAGCATGCGGGGATCCTACCCTGTTGCAAGTTCCAACACTCCTCCTACCCAATAGACCAGTCACTTTCTGGCAGCTTTTATGAGCCAGGAAGGGTAAGAATCCAGCAGACAAGTGGTAGCCCTCACCTTCCCAAAGGTCCTGACCACATCATCAGGCTGCAGAAACTGAAACTCATGCATTCACACAAGGCAAGCAGGGCCACAGTTACATTCACAGGACCTGAAATAACTACAGCACCCAAGTCAGAGCAGATCTGAGCAACCATGCTTGCACTTTCTAGTCTAATTGCCAACCAACTGATTGAGCAGTAAAGAAGATATATTCAAAATTGAGATTTATTCCATAATACTCTACAGAGTGATTGTTAAAAATATATTACTGCATATGAAGTAAACATTAGGAAGGGGTCACAATAGCTGTTAGATTTCATTAGCAAAAGCCAATCTGTTCACCAGATGACAATCTTATTGGCCAAATAACAGTGGCCTTCAAACTCAACTGTAACTAAGGCAGCCAAATCCAAATCCTAATTCCCAAAATGGAAATCCAGCAGCAGTTTTCTGAAAATGGTGTTAGCAGTATGATCCCTGGTTAACCATGTGCTGCACTGAAACACACTGTAAGAATACTAATACTTCTCCAGAGTTGATCTGTATGACAAGTGGTGGAGGAATGAGATGGCAGGTACTTCTCAGACTGCTAAAGTACCTTCAGTGATGGACAGTTGTAGATACTGTACAGTTGATTTGCTAGAAGTACAGTCTTGCTGTTGTAAGGAGAAAATTTTAGAGTCCTTCTAATTTGGTAATTTGATCAATGGCCAAGTATAGCCTGATGTGATGCTCTATCATTCTCTCTCTTTTCACTTTTTGCTTGCCTTATTTCCCAAGGTGATTAAAGAAGTTGGCATACATCAGCATTTTCTTGCTTTGCAACCCAACTGAGATGCATGGGAATTCCAGTTTGTCGTCAGGAGGCCAACCTTTCCTTGTCACTTTGCTCACACAAGCAGTGACATGTCTGAAGAACGCAAGGTGATCATGTGTAGGCCTTTAAGATAAGCAAGAACCCAGATTTTACAAGGTTCTTGATCATGTGCAGAGTCAACACACCAGCAGAAAATTCTTCTGTTCAGTCTCATTTACTCCTTGCACATGAAAAACAAAAAGGGAGTAGGTACGACTAATCTCCCACTTACCTCCATTACGTTGGCAATTCTGGATAATAAAACTGAACAGAACTTGAGTTAGAGCAGTGATCAACCCTAAGTGGAGAGTTGCAGACAGGATATCTTCCTGAGTCTTCCTAAAGACTAAATCTGGGATTTTCTACATCAAAAGCCCATGGTTTATTACTGATCCGGAGTGTCTCCATACATCAGACCTGGGCAAAGTGCAGTCCGAAGGCCACATACGGCCAACAAGCCGCTCCTATCTGGCCTGTTCCAGTCCGGTGTTCAAGCACTTGTTCAAGTCCAAGACAGACTGGATTTCTCTTACTGAACAAGTTGAACATTAAAACCATTTATAGCTTTTTATCTGAAGTTGATCAGTTGTTTATCTTTAACATACCACAAAAAATCTTTTTAGTATTTGTGAAGATTAGCAAGTTTAAAATAAAAACAATCATAACATCACTGTTTCATTTTATTTTTCAGTAAAGTTGGTTCGGCCCCCGAACACAGTTCAGATTTTTCATGTGGCCCCCTACAGAAATTAATTGCTCACCCCTGCCATACATCCTCTCACCACAGTACGAGTCACTCCTTCATCAATGAGCACAAGACAAATGTCTTCTTGTTGGACAAATCTCAGAACTACCCTTTCAGGATGAATCCACTGTTCTAAAAGTTCCTGAAGACTGTCACTATCTTCAGATGTCAGACCTGCATTATCCTCCTCCCACTCACTCAGTTTTCTAGATGCCTATCTTTCTCCCTCATACTTAGAATTTGTTCTTTATAAGGACCACCTAATGTCCTCTAGTTTGACTTTTCCCATTATTTCGCATGCTTGCTGAACTCCAAGTTAATGTATGCCTTACACCTTGTGATGTAGGGTGGGCTATAAATGTTTTAAACAAACAAACAAACAAACAAACAAACAAATAAATAAATAAATATCCCTGAATCATACCCAAATACTAGATTCCAGGCATACCATATCTCCTTCTCCCCCTGCTTCCTTCTCTTCTCTCATTTTTCATCTCCTAGTACAATCTCCTCTCTCTCTCTCTCTCCATCCTCTTGCAAAGTCAAAAGCCACCAGCCAGGGCATTTCTGCGCCATCACTTACTCACTCACTTCCCTCTTTTGCTGGTGACCCACACAGTTAACCATTTTATTGCTTTCTCATTTTTTCCCTCCATAAACTCCATTTTTGAAAAAGCTCTTAGTCTCTTGTTGCCTCCCACGGGTATATTACAAGGCCATTCCACTTCCTGGACTGAACAGCCTCAGTTATGCATGCTTAGCTCCAGGTGCTTTGTTTAAAAGGTGTTTGTTTGGACCCACTTTACCAGAAAAAGCTGACTGCCTTGTGGAAGAAAAAGCCAGGATTGCCTTGGGAAAAACTTTCCCGTGCACACACTTGCCCTAGATGATTATAACACAGCCTTGCTCAACCTGCAGCCTTCTGGCAATGCTACACTACATCTCCCACCAGCTCCAGCCACTTTGTAGTGTGGGCAAAGATTAAGAGACCTGTTATGCAAAACATCCAGAACGTACGATGTTAGGAAACCTGCTGTAATAATTTGTGTTCCAGAAGGTTTTATTCATAGAACATGAAGAAGCAGAGAGGCATGTTGTGCATAAATGCAGTGACGAGCAAACAGCAAGCAAATCACAACATAAACAGGGTTATCTTTTCATATTGCATGAACCTTCCCACCATTATGTTCTTTCAAAGCTACCTCATAGGAACACTTCATCTCTTTTTAAATCACTACAATTGTACTATCAGAAACAAGGTGATGGGAGTAAGACAGAGCTTGGGAAAGTTGCCCTTCCATAAAAGCATAGAACT